GGGGGGGGGGGGGGGGGGGGGAGTGGAACCTGGCAGTATTTGGGGGGAAGTAGTGAGGCCTGCTGAGCTTCTGTACCCTTCATTAGCTCTGCAACTCGGAGTTGAAGGTCTTTCCTTGCCCAAGACCTCCTCCTTGACGTTGGGTGGGGTCTTCCTCCCTCCACATGACTTGTGTCCAGTTCTGTGCTCCATGCTGTAACGGAGGGCACACGGTGGCGCTCCTGGATCGCTCCAGTAAGGCTCTCTCGGGTGTGGGATCGTGGAGGGGACGGGCCCAGGACTGTAGGGGAAAAAATTAGGGATCCCGCAGACCTGGATTTGAAGCCTGCTCACAGTACGGGTGTACCAGCTGTGTGGAACTTTGAGTGAGTGACGGGACTTCCTTCAAGTGTCTCCAAGGATTATTGAGAGGATTGAATAATTTAACTGCATATGTCCTCCGAGGCCCAGTAGGTTGTAGCTCCTTCCATCAGTGAGCACTTACTGTATACTGATACAGTCAGGGATTGCTAGGGGAGGTGGAACCTGGCCGGATTTGGGGAGAGCAAGAGTGGAGAAGGCATTTGAGAAGTTCTGGCTTCATGGTACCTGAAAATACAAGGGGCTTGAGCATTACTTAGGGCATGGCCCAGTCAGCTTCTACCCCTGCCAGCTCCAAGCAGAGCTCCGTGCTTGTGCTGTCAGGTAGACTGGGGCCCTCAACACAAGGAATTTTTTAGTCTAGAGCTCAGTAATATTCCTGCAAGTAATGGTTATCCTGAGTTTTACAGAATCTGACTCCATTTGAAAGAGGGACCAGGTGAGCAGGGGACGTCTTTACCAACAACCTGTCATGGTGGCACTTAATGTAACAGATGCTAGATAATACCTATGACCTCACATTGGCTTCTTTCTGTCTGGCCACAGGTGATAGAACCGGCCTTGGAAGGTACAGGCAAGAAGGGGAAGAAGGCATCCTCAAGGAAGAGTGCAGTGGCTGGGTCTCCAGCGAAGGGCCTCCTGCAGCCAGTGAAGCTCAGCCGAGCCGAACTGTACAAGGAACCTACCAATGAGGAGCTGAATCGCCTTCGGGAGACTGAGATCCTGTTCCACTCTAGCTTGCTTCGTTTACAGGTACCGTTGGGACTTGGCTTATAGGGATGGGCCTGGGACTCTGAGGCTGATTGATTCTCCCCTGCCCCCTCTCACAGGTGGAGGAGCTATTAAAGGAAGTGAGGCTGTCAGAGAAGAAGAAGGATCGGATTGATGCCTTCCTACAGGAGGTCAACCAGCGGATCATGAGAGTGCCCTCAATCCCTGAGACAGAAGTAAGGCAGGTGGCCTGGGGAACTGGGAAACCTAGTAGAGGCCTTCAGAGAGGGCATCTCAAATAGGGGCCTTCCTATTCTCTTGAGGGGTTGGGATGCTAGGGAGCCCATTCTCACTGCAAGGACACTCAGCTGGAGTACAGTCATTCATGTACTTATTCACTCAACAAATATTTATGTGCCCTGCAATATTTGTATTCTTAGGATACATAAGAATGAGAAGTAAACAGTATGGCAATGTTAGAAAGTGGTAAACACTATGGGAAAAGAAAAAAGTAGGACAAAGTAAGGGGATTGGGAGTATTAGTGGATGGGAATGATTTGCAATTTTAAATAGGGTGCTTTGGGTAGGCCTTATCGAAGTGATATTTGTGTGAGGTTTCGAGGGAGGTGAGTCAAGCATATAGATATCTAAGGGAGTAAGAGCATTCCAAGAAAGGGAAATAGCTAATACAAAGGCTCAAAGGCAAGAATATGCCTGGTATGTTCGTAGGAACAAATGAGGGAAAGATAAGAAGGAGATGAGTTTATAAAGGTAATGGGGGAAAGTGGTATAGCACACAGGGTCTTGTATGTCAAAATAAGGACTTTGGCTGTTGTTCAGGGTGAAATGAGGAGCCACTTCTGGGGTTCTTTTGCAGAGCAGTGATGTACTTAAACTTTCAAAAGTTCACTCTTCCAGTTTTAAAAAGTACACTCGGGCTATTATGTTGAAGGAGAATGGAGGAAGAGAAAGTGAAATCAGGGAGACTAGTTAGGAAACTGTTGTGTACCGAAAAATGGTGGTGCCCCAAACTAGGGTGGAAAGTAAAGAAGTGATCTCTCTCTGAATACATTTTGAAAGTAAAATGGGTGTTCTTAACAGAGGTGAGTCAATGTAGTTTAGATGGGGCTGGCCAGTTAGCTCAGTTGGTTAGAGTACAGCCTCATAAACCCAGGGTCACAGGTTCTGATCCCCGTCCTGGCCAGCCACAAAACAAAACAAAACAAAAATCATACAAACAAACCAGAAAAAGGTAGTTTAAATGTTTTTGGCTCAAACAACAAAGTATGGAGTTGACTTAATGGAGAAGACATGTTTACAGGAAGATTAGGAGTTTGGTTTCCAACATATTGATGTATTAAGATGTTTACTACACACGAAGGGGCCATGTGAGGAAGGCAGTCAAATCAATATGTGTCACTGTTTCTGCCCCCACAGCTCACTGACCAGGCGTGGCTCCCAGCTGGTGTTCGAGTTCCCCTCCACCAAGTGCCCTATACTGTGAAGGGCTATTTCCGCTTCCTGCCCCCAACCCAGGTCACTGTTGTGGGCAGCTACCTCCTGGGGACCTGCATCCGGCCAGACATCAATGTGGATGTGGCACTGACCATGCCCAGGGTAAGATCCAGGGTTTGGGAGATAGAGAGGTCCACCACTTGACCATCTGCAGATCTAGGGTCCCTCTCTTTCCTACCTGTCATTTGCCAGAGAATTGAAATCTGAATTTGAAATCAAAAGAGAAGGCCACTGCAGTCATCCTGAGGCCAGCTTAGATGGGCCCTTGAGCCAGTTGCTGCCCCTTTGGAACTTTGCCTTCCTCATCTGAGGATTGGGTATGGTGTTGGCTAGCCCTGGCTCAGACACTCAATTCAGTCAGCAGAGAAGCCCTGGGACTCTCACCTTGGTTTCATCTTTTCCCCCAAGCTCTATAAACACTTATGTGCCTGGCCATCTCATCCCCTGATCCCTCCAGGAAATCCTACAGAACAAGGATGGGCTGAACCAGCGCTACTTCCGCAAGCGTGCCCTCTACCTGGCCCACTTGGCTTACCACCTGGCTCAAGACCCCCTCTTTGGCAGTGTTCACTTCTCTTATACCAACGGCTGCCACTTGAAACCCTTGTTGCTGCTGCGGCCTCATGGTAGGAAGCACACACTGGGCTGAGGGCACAGTTTGGGGTGACAGATCCAGAGGGAGAGGCACAGGGTACTCAAGTGTAGGGGAGTAGGGATGTGGGCCTCAAGTTTGAGTGGGGAGGTGACCTCAAATTCTGAGGTGAGAAGGCCTGGGACTCTCAAGTATGAGGGAGGACCCCTCTGGCTTCAGGGGCTGTAGGGCCTCAGCACCCTCTGTCTCTGCCCAGGGAAGGATGAGCGCCTGGTGACCGTACGTTTGCATCCATGCCCTCCGCCTGACTTCTTCCGTCCGTGCCGCTTGCTGCCAACCAAGAACAATGTGCGCTCTGCCTGGTACCGAGGGCAGAGTCCTTCAGGGGATGGTGAGTAGGCACTGGTGTCAAGGTGGAGCTGGAGGGAAGGGCTGTTATGGGGATTTCTCTCAAGGCTTTTCTTTTCCTCCAATAGGTAGCCCAGAGCCCCCTACCCCCCACTACAACACATGGATCCTGCAGGATACAGCTCTTGAGTCTCATGTGCAGGTACTGTCAGCCATGCTGGGATCAGCCCTGGGGCTGAAGGATGGTGTGGCACTTTTGAAGGTCTGGCTGCGGCAGCGGGAGCTGGACAAGGTGAGTTGGGGGTAGCCTAGCCTCTCTGCCATGCTGAGTGGTAAGATGGCTCTGAGCTCAGGCCTCTCCCTCCATCTCTCTTTCAGGGCCTGGGTGGGTTTAGTGGGTTCCTTGTCTCCATGCTGGTTGCCTTCCTCGTGTCCACACGCAAGATCCATACCACCATGAGTGGCTACCAGGTCCTGAGAAGCGTCTTACAGTTTCTGGGTAAGGAAACTAGACTGGGAAAGGCCAAGGGTTTTCCTCATTCCAGGAATCCTCTCATTCCATCAGGGATCCTTTGGTTCCTTGCCATCAAACGGATGAGCAAACTGAACCCTCGAGGCAGGCAGCTGTAGCCACGTAGGCTGAGGGAAGGTGTCATTAGGTCTGGGTCGCAAGGGAGGGGGATATCTTCTGACTTACCCACCTTCTGTGGTTCACTCCAGCCACCACAGATCTGACAATCAATGGGATCAGTTTATGTCTCAGCTCAGATTCTTCCTTGGTGAGTTGGGGAAGGGCCAGATCTGTGCCAGGGGGCCTGAAGGTAAGGTATCAATCCTGACTGTCTTCTTTGTACACCAACTCCCCAAGCCGGCCCTGGCTGACTTCCACCAGGCCTTCCCTGTTGTCTTCCTGGACTCGTCAGGTCATCTCAACCTCTGTGCTGATGTCACTGCTTCCACTTACCACCAGGTACCAATGGGCCCTCACTCCTGGGTTCCCCAGATGTCCCAGCCCAGATTCTGTAACTTTTGCCTGTATCAGAACCCTAGAAACTCCTCCCCAAAGAGCTAAGGTCAGGCGTGTCTCCAGTCTGAGTTCTCATGTCAGTGACGGTTACAGTGGTTTTCCCTACTTATCCTGTGCCCCAGGTACAGCATGAGGCACGGCTGTCTATGGCATTGCTGGACAGCAAAGCTGACGATGGGTTCCAGCTACTGTTGATGACTCCTAAACCCATGATCCGGGCTTTTGACCACATCGTGCAGTAAGTTTATTTATTTATTTATTTATTTATTTTAAATTTTTATTATTTTTTTATTTATTATTTTTTTTAAATTTATTATTTTTTTTTATTTTGTCAATATACAATGTAGTTAGTTATTGTGTCCCATAAATTTTTATTTATTATTATTATTATTATTATTATTTTTTTTTTTTTTTTTTGTCCTTTTTGAGACCGGCCGCACGGCGCTCAGCCAGTGAGTACTGTGAGCGCACCAGTCATCCCTATATAGGATCCGAACCCGCGGTGGGAGCGCTGCTGCACTCCCAGCGCTGCACTCTCCCGAGTGCGCCACGGGCTCGGCCCCAATTTTTTTAAAAATAATTTTTTATTGGGCCGGCCCAGTGGCGCACTACTGTAGTGTGCCGCTTGGGAAGTGCGGTGGCGCTCCTGCCGAGGGTTCGGATCCCACATACAGACCGGCCGCTCACTGGCTGAGCGAGGGGCGGGAGCAACACCGAGGGTGTGATCCCGTGGCCGGTCCCGGCCCGGTACGGGCGCGACACTGAGGGTTGCGATCCGTTGCCGGTCACGAAAAAAGACAAAAAGGAAAAAATAATAATAATAATTTTTTATTAATTGAATCAAAATCGATTATACATATTTTTGGGGTTGAACATTGAGAAATGTTGCTTAAATCAGTATTACTAGCATATATATTGTTACAAATCATAATTATTTTTTATGCCCCTCGTCCAACCTCTCCCCTTCCCCCATTCTCTCCCCATCCACCCTCTAACTGCCTAGATTTCTTCTCTCCTTCTGAAAGAATAATGATTACTCTGTTAACTTGTTACCTAGATAAACTGTCCAACGCTGAGAGATGTGATCAGGTCCCCCAATATTATCATAGAGCAGATGCTTCTTCTGTCACTCTGAAATGGGTTTTGTGAAAAGAGACATTCTCTTCTTTTCTTTGTCTCTGCTGGTGACTCTTCTTGTGTGAATGCACTCCAGTGGTTGGTGGACCATCTGCGTGGTGGTTCTGGCATCTAGCTGTTTCTGCAGCAGCCATGGTTATTGTGACTGTGGTGGGCCACCCATGTGGGGGTGCTGTTTTTGGCATGCTCCTTGGCACTGGTGGTATGCCTGGTTGTGGGGTGTGTTTGGTCCCCTTCTCCTTGCCTTGGGTCCCTGGGCAGCCCCCAAGGTGCTGGCATGTTGGGCCTGGTTGTGGGAGAGAGGTCCATTCCCCACCTCCATACCCTGGGTCCCTGGGCAGGGCCCAAGGTGCTGGCGTGGTGTGCCTGGTTGTGGGAGAGAGGCCCAGTCCCCTTCTCCATGCCCTGGGTCCCTGGGCAGGGCCCAAGGTGCTGGCGTGGTGTGCCTGGTTGTGGGAGAGAGGCCCAGTCCCCTTCTCCATGCCCTGGGTCCCTGGGCAGGGCCCAAGGTGCTGGCGTGGTGTGCCTGGTTGTGGGAGAGAGGTCCAGTCCCCTTCTCCATACCTCAGGACTCCGGGCAGGCCCCAAGGTGCTGGCATGGTGTGCCTGGTTGTGGGAGGGTGGTCTGGTCCCCTTCTCCATGCTGCGGGACCGTGGGTGGGCCCCAAAGTGCTGGCTTGGTGTGCCTGGTTGTGGGAGAGAGGTCCAGTCCCCTTCTCCATACCTCAGGTCCCCGGGTCCGGGCAGGCCCCAAGGTGCTGGTGCAGTGTGCCTGGTTGTGGGAGGATGGTCTGGTCCCCTTCTCCATGCCTCAGGTCCCCCGGTGGGCCCTGAAGCACTGGCATGGTGTGCCTGGTTGTGGGAGAGAAGGCCATTCCCCTTCTCCAAGCCTCAGGTCCCCGGGCAGGCCTCAAGGTGCTGGCTGGTGTGCCTGGTTATAGGAGGGTGGTCTGGTCCCCTTCTCCATGCCCTGGGTCCCTGGGCAGGACCCAAGGTGCTGGCGTGGTGTGCCTGGTTGTGGGAGAGAGGTCCAGTCCCCTTCTCCATGCCTCAGGTCCCCTGGTGGGCCCTGAAGCGCTGGCTCAGTGTGCCTGGTTGTGGGAGAGAAGGCCATTCCCCTTCTCCTTGCCTCAGGTCCCCGGGCAGGCCCCAAGGTGCTGGCGTGGTGTGCCTGGTTGTGGGAGGGTGGTCTGGTCCCCTTCTCCATGCTCCGGGACCGTGGGTGGGCCCCAAAGTGCTGGCTTGGTGTGCCTGGTTGTGGGAGAGAGGTCCAGTCCCCTTCTCCATGCCTCAGGACTCTGGGCAGGCCCTGAGGCACTGGTGCAGTGTGCCTGGTTGTGGGAGGGAGGCCCAGTCCCCAACTCCATACCCCGGATCCCTGGGTGGGCCCCAAGGCGCTAGCTCACTGTGCTTGGTTGTGGGAGAGAGGCCCAGGCCCCAACTCCATACCCCGGGTTCCTGGGGTCCCACCCAAGGCGCTGGCTCAGTGTGCCTGGTTGTGAGAGAGAGGTCCAGTCCCCTTCTCCACGCCCCAGCTCCCCGGGTGGGCCCTGAAGCACTGGCGCGTTGTGCCTGGTTTTGGGAGAGAGGACCATTCCCCTTCTCCTTGCCCCGGTTCCCTGGGTGGGCTCCGAGTAGCTGGCATGTTGTGCCTGGTTGTGGGAGAGAGGTCCAGTCCCCAACTCCATACCCCATGTCCCTGGGTGGGCCCCAACGTGCTGGCTCAGTGTGCCTGGTTGTGGGAGGGGCGTCCAGTCCTCTTCTCCATCCTTCAGGTCCCCAGGCTGGCCCCAATGTACTGGTGCAGTTTGCCTGGAAGTGGGATTGGGGTCCAGTCCCCAGGTCCAAGCCTCCAGTTCCCAGGCAGGCCCCAAGGTGCTGGTGGTGTGCCTGGCCCAGAACTAATTTTTTGTCTTTTGCTTCTAACACGGGGGAACTTCCTGTGGGAACCAGTACTTGAGCTGTGTGGTTGTTTAAGTTGCTACTTTGCTGCTGTTTCCCTAGGGAAGGCTTTTTGTGCAGCTCAGGGTTTAATGGTTGACCTTATAGGTACTTCCAGCTCTCCAGAGACCCGGTGGATCTGTGTTCTGTAGAATCTCTGATCTGGGCCTGACTTTTTTCACCAAACTGCACCCCATGCAATTCTGCATTCCTGACCATTCTCCTCTGAGTGGTCCTGTGCTGATTGGGGGGCAGATCAGCTGTCCTTGCCGTGCCCCAGTGATCCCCTGGTGGGCACGTCTCCCCCACCGCCCATGCTCCAAACACTTCCCATGTGATGGACCCTGCGCCGGTCCCTTGCAATGACTCACTGGCCTCTGAGTGGCTCCCCTTTTTTCAGTTGTTCTGGCTCCTTGCTTCTGCGTGGGTCCATGGGAACCCTATTAGTGGTCTTGCTGTCTTGGGGGCCACCAAGGCCCTCTTCTCTCCTGCTGCCTCCAAGCAACTCCATCTGGAGGGCACAGATGCGGCTTCTGCCGGCTCCTGCTCCATGTGCTCATCAGCTCGAGCCTTAAAGCAGCCATGGCCTGAAACACTCAAAGCAGCTTTTTCTTTCTGTCATTGTAGTTTCTCCGGCCTTCATGAACTCCATAGGTCTCTCCTCCCCTTCCCCTGAGCTCCAGTAGCCCCGGCTTGGCTGATGTTACATTTTTATAGTTGTAAATTGGTTGATTTGTGGGAAAGAGTGATGCTGGGGACCGTCTATTCCGCCATCTTGATTGGATCTCGTGCAGTAAGTTTAGAAGTGACAGGATATGTTGGTGGATCCTGTCTCCCTGGGTGTACAGTGATGGGGCAGAGGTCCTCAGGCAGGTGCTCCAATCTTCAAGGGAGGAGTTTGTACTAGAAGCCAACAGACCCTGATTCCCTCTCTTTGTCCCGCTATGTCCCCCAGTCTCCGTCCAGTGAGTCGCCTACAGGCAGCATGTCACAGGCTGAAGCTCTGGCCGGAACTGCAAGATAATGGTGGGGACTATGTCTCAGCTGCTTTGGGCCCACTAACCACCCTCTTGGAACAGGGCCTGGGGTCCCGGTTGCTCCTGCTGGGTCACTCTCGGCCCCCAATCGCAGAGGTGAGGTGGTATAGGTTGAGGAGTTTGTGGGTCTGAGTGGGTCTGGATCTAGGGCCCTTAGGGACACAAAGGGCACACCATCTCTCTAACTAGACCTTTCTTGCTAGCTAGAAAGTGTGTTTCCAGGCAAGGCTGGATTTGTGGGTTGACCTCAGTCTTTTTACAACCTACAGTGGGACATCAGCCAAGATCCACCAAAGCACAAAGACTCTGGGACCCTGACCCTGGGATTGCTCCTCCGGCCTGAAGGACTGATCAGTGTCCTTGAGCTGGGTCCAGAGGCTGACCAGCCTGAGGTGAGGAACCCCCAGCATATGTATTGGAAGGAGTGGGTGGATTGTCCTTATGCCTCCTGGATTGAGGTCTGTCAAGGAGATTTCTGAGAGAGCCCTTCTTTCTTGATCTCTTCCACTGACTCTTGTCTCTCCTCAGGCTGATGACTTTCATCAGTTCTGGGGATCCCGCTCAGAGCTTCGGCGCTTTCAGGATGGAGCCATTCGGGAAGCTGTGGTCTGGGAGGCAAGCTCTATGTCACAGAAACGCCTTATTCCCCACCAGGTGGTCACCCACCTCTTGGCTCTGTGAGTGTTAGCATCTGGATGCCAGGAGGCAACTGAGAGCTGGGGAGTCTTTTAGGAGGGTCTGGCCCAAGCTCTTGGGGTAAGCAGCTCACTCTGTGCTCAGGACATAACCCCCATTGCCCTCATTGTGTCTGTGTCCCTTCTTCAGCCATGCTGACATCCCAGATACCTGTGTCCACTATGTGGGGGGCCTCCTGGATGCACTTATCCAAGGTCTGAAAGAGGTAAGGTCCTTGGGATTAAGGCTAGTGATCGTAGAGTAACCCCAACCCCAACTCTAACTCCTGTGGTGAGATTGGTGGGGGGAGAGAGCTGTTTCCACTTCAGCCAGGCTGCATTTCCTGGAGTGTCCAGCAGGCGGAGCACTGGCTCCACTGCAGCTGGAGCCATGGTAGAATCCCAGGTGGTGCTGGGGTTCTGTAGGGTCAGACCTCCTGACTGTCTTCTCCTCCTCAGACCTCCAGCACAGGTGAGGAGGCACTGGCAGAGGCAGTGCGTTGTTATGATGACCTCAGTCGCCTGCTATGGGGACTGGAGGGTCTCCCGCTGACTGTGTCTGCTGTTCAGGGAGCTCACCCAGTGCTGCGCTACACAGAGGTGAGGTGCAAAGGGGGCAGGGTGCTCTCTCTGTTTGGTAACCCCCCCCATGCTTCCAACTCCTGCCTGTGGGCACTCCCAGTCCTGGGCCCCTTCCTTAACCTCCTTTTTCCACAGGTATTCCCACCAACCCCAGTCTGGCCAGCCTACTCCTTCTATGAGCACCTGCGAGAGCGGGCCTCACTGTTGCCTCGGCTTGATAAGCCTTGCCCTGCCTATGTGGAGCCCATGACCAGTAAGAGGGCTCCTGGGGGGAGTAGGAGGGACAGTTCCTGCTCCAGGCCACAGTATGAGATCTCTCACTCCTTCCCAGTGGTTTGTCACCTGGAGGGCAGTGGTCAGTGGCCACAGGATGCTGAGGCCGTGCAGAGGGTCCGAGCTGCCTTCCAACTGCGCCTGGCAGAGCTGCTGTCGCAACAGCATGGGCTGCAGTGCCGTGCCACTGCCACGCACACTGATGTCCTCAAGGTTAGGCTGGCGCGGGGCAGGGATAGCGCCAGGGAATGGGGAGACCAGGGATGTCAGGGTGTGGAAGAGGATACCCCTGCGGGTGCCAGCCTGGGGAGCAGGGATGCAGGCAGCAGGGTACTTCCAGGGCCCTGGGCTGACATTTATTTCCTGTATCATATCCTTTTCCAACAGGATGGGTTTGTGTTCCGCATTTGCATAGCCTATCAGCGGGAGCCCCAGATCCTGAGGGAGATGCGGAGCCCAGAGGGGATGATCTCATTGAGGGACACACCTGCCTCCCTCCGCCTTGAGAAAGACATAAGGCAGTTGCCCCTGCTCACCAGTGCCCTGCATGGGTAAGGCCACCTTCACAGGCTCTTCCTGTTTCCGTCCCTGCCCCTACTTTGCTGTCTTGGCTACCTATCTCTCTGGGAACCCAAATGGTGAAATAGTTAGGCGTGTAAGTACTGGAGCTCTGGCCCTGCCATTGTGTCCCTTTGGGCAGGTTTTTCCCCTTGTCTTTATTTTATTCATCTCTAAAATGGGAATAATGCTAGGATCAACCTCTTGGGACATTTCTTAGGATGACATGAGGTTATACATGTGATACATTAGCACAGAGGCCAACATTGGGTAAGGGTTGGCAGTGGTAGTGAGTCTGAGACACTGTTCCTGGGCCCTAAGCGCCTGAGTCACTTCCACTTTCCTCCAACCCCCCTAGACTCCAACAGCAGCATCCAGCCTTTTCAAGCGTGGCTCGGCTGGCCAAGCGGTGGGTACGTGCCCAGCTTCTGGGTGAGGAGTTCACTGATGAGAGCCTGGATCTGGTGGCTGCTGCCCTTTTTCTACACCCCGAGCCCTTCACTCCTCCCAGGTGAGTCCCTCCACCTTTTCCCTAGCCAGGAAATTCCCTTTGAGGCCAGTTTTCATCCTCCATGCTGTACCCTCAGTCCAAATGGGAGACGGTGGCTGAAGCAAGTGACAGAAAGGGTTCTAAGACACCCCTCCCAGTCCATGCCAAGCGTTGTGGGTTCCTTAGATTGTGGGCGAAGCCTGGGAATGTGAGGCTGAACCCATAATCTTTGCCCATGCCTTCCTCTCAGCTCCCCCCAGGTTGGCTTCCTTCGGTTCCTTTTCTTGGTATCAACCTTTGATTGGAAGAACAACCCCCTCATTGTCAACCTAAACAATGAGCTCACTGGTAAGTGGTAGAAGATCAGACTGCTGGAAGAACTACTCTTTATGGATTACAAAGTAGGGCAGGCAAGGTATTTCCTTGTCAGTCTTTAGGGTTTTTCTATGCCTCCCTCATTCTGGATATCTAAGCCTGACCCTTGACTACCTTGGGCTAGAGAATTGTCAGGGGGTAGAGGCCCAGGTCAGGCCTGACTTTAGGGATGTGGTTTGCCCATGTGATAGTCAGAGACAGAATGGATGGGGAGTGGTAAGCAGACTGCCTGGGGGCTGCGGAGGGGAGAGGAGAGTTGAAGGGGATCCTGAACACCAGGTGAGAGAAGTCTTGTGGTAGGGAGCAAGGGAGATTAGTATAGATGCCTAGACCTCTGGTGGGGGGAGAGGCATGGTGATTTCTGGTTGTAATATGAGGAGCTCCTAGTCTCAGAGAACAGGGTGTCAGGTTCCTAATTCCCCAGGTGTGTGGGAGCCTAGGGTGGGAGGGGTCCAGGGGCAGGCCTCAGCTTGAGCAGGCCCGGAAACTGGACTGGGGGTGCCAGGCAGTGGAAAATTCTGCCTCTGGACTAAGACTGGGAGATTAACACCCCACCCGATTGAGGCAAATGGGGCGTCCCTTTCGTCACCTTTGTCACTTGGATAGGAGCATTGGAAAATTCCTGTAATGGACAACTGTTGGGTGCCTAGTAGGAGGGCCTGAGCTGTAGAAAGTGTCTTGCGTGGAGAGATAGGCTGAACCAGGTCCCCCTCTTGTTTCCAGTGGAAGAGCAGGTGGAGATCCGCAGTGGCTTCCTGGCAGCTCGGACACGACTCCCCATCATGGTCATTATAACCCCCCAGGACCGCAAAAACTCTATATGGACACAAAATGGACCCTCGGCCCAGGTTCAACACCATACCTGCTCCCAAATGTGTCATTTTTCTCCCCCAAGGACAAAGCAGGCCCAGCCTGACCTAGGAGAGACCTATGGTCTGAGGTGTCTGTACCCCCCAGGTCCTACAGCAGCTTGTGGTCCTGGCAGCTGAGGCCCTGCCCATCCTAGAGAAGCAGCTAATGGATCCCCAGGGGCCTGGGGATATCAGGGTAAGCCTCTGACCAACAATGACTCTGGGAGTTCTAGGATTCTATCTTTGAACCCTGGAAGTCCAGAGTTCAAGGGGCCCTCACAGGATGCCCGGGTCCCCTTGTTTGGTGAGATTGAAACCAAAGAAGGCATTGAAGCTACCACGGCACCTGGCAGTGGTGGAGCCTAGAGGAGAGCCTGGGCTCCATTCAGGCCTCGTGCTTCCTGCTTATGCTCCTCCTGTTGGATTCAGTCTGGCACCAGCTGCTTCCTCCATGGGTCCTAGTATTCCCACCTTCAGATGGGCATGCAGGCCCATAATGGGTGGTCAGGTGAAGGGGAAGGAGGGAACCAAGGTGGGCACATGGAGAGGTTTGTGGTCCAGCTTTTAACTCAAGGGGGCACTGCTGACCCCTCCCTCGCTCCTTCCTTAGACAGTGTTCCGGCCACCCTTGGACATGTACGATGTGCTGATCCGCCTGTCTCCCCGCCACATACCCCGGCACCGCCAGGCTGTGGACTCGCCAGCCGCCTCCTTCTGCCGTGGCCTGCGCAGTGAGCCAGGGCCTTCATCCCTGATGCCCGTGCTGGGCTACGATCCTCCTCAGCTCTACCTGGCACAGCTCAGGGTAGGTCCTAAAGGGCTGACTGTCCCTGGGAGGGGTCTCCCAGGTGGAGGTACGGCTATGGCAGAGGCTCCCAGGTATGCTATAATCTCGTCTCCGTTTTGTCCCTTCATAGGAGGCCTTTGGGGATCTGGCCCTTTTCTTCTATGACCAGCATGGTGGAGAGGTGATCGGTGTCCTCTGGAAGCCTACCAGCTTTCAGCCCCAGCCCTTCAAGGTGTGCTGGCTGGTGATAGCCCTGTATTCCTTCACGTAGTTCCATGTAGTCATTTATGTCTATGTGTTTCTGCTCCACAGGTGTGGAGTGTGTAGGCTCGTGTCTCTCTCTTCACCACCCCAATTTTGTCCCAGCCTGTGTCTCTGGATATGCCTTTGGGACACCTCAACCCACATATCTTCTCTGCTCCCTGCAGGCCTCCAGCACAAAGGGGCACATGGTCGTGTCTCAAGGTGGGGAGCTGGTGATGATGCCCAATGTAGAAGCAATCCTGGAGGACTTTGCCATGTTGGGCGAAGGCCTGGTGCAAGCTGTGGAGGCCCGAAGTGAGAGGTGGACTGTGTGATACCAGCCCTGGAGCAAGCTGTAGATGGACAGCCGGACTTTGGACCTCTGGTACAAGATGTCAGGGTGACCTTCACTCTCGTTGCTGGCCAGAACACATGAATCACCCCCAACAAAAGCCATGCCCCAGTTTCCTGTCTGATGCTGCAGCACTGGGGCAGGGGCTGTGGTGTCCTATGGAGTCCCCTGGGCCTGACCATCTAAACTCCCAGAGAAGTGGAAGCCAGCTCAGGGAGGGAACTGAACCCAGGAGATCCATGCATCTGTCAGCCCTGGGCCTGGACCTTTTTGGGTTTTTCCCCCCTCTTAGCCTTCTCCCAGAAGCAGATGGAGAAGAGAAGTTGGAGAAGTGCCTGGGGCAGAGGCTCTGTCCCTTTCCCACTGCCAGGACGTGTGCCTTGATCCCAGTATGCCCTTACTGCAGCAGCAGGCCTTTAGATGGGACCCAGAGAAAGCATGGTGCTGCTTGAGGGTCACAGCACTCAAATTGAGCAATGGAAAGGGGACCATGTGTGTATTAATAGACCACATTGAAGGGGCACAGTGCCCTCCTGTGTTGGTGCTGCTGCTTCCCAGGGTGGAGATAGTGGAAAAGGACAGAGGACAGGAAGGGGCTGGGTGGGTGAAATGGTCAGGGGTCTGGTGGTTCCCCAGTCCAGGAGTGAGGCAGAAAGCACTGGGTGCTATCCCCTGGCCTGTCAGTGTCTGAGTCACACCAGCTCTGTGTGTCTGCCTGGGCTGTTTGCTCACATGTCACAAAGTGCCCCCACTGTGCTCCTGCAGTGGGGTTGTGGAGATGAGCAAGGCCCAAGTCCTGCTCTCCAGGAGCTCCCAGGGCCCCAGGGGAGTGGGAATGCTGCCTCATTTCAGTCTGATCCACACCCCCTTTCTGGCAGCCTCTCCCTGTCCCTCTGTCTCCCTTAATCCTGGTTTTTTGTCAGACTCAGCTCAAATAGTGCCCCTCCCTTGCCCCCAGCCTGAGGTGATCTTTCCCTCCTCTGACCTATTAGAGCAATTACTGTCTGCTCTGTTCACTTGGCAGGCACATACAGCAGTATGAACTTTTCTATTGTCTTGAACTCTTGATTTCAAATTAAATTGCTTAATTTCCCCCATGTTCCTGGTTTTAACCTGGTCTCCCATATGTAAGCTCCTTGAGTGTTTGAACACAGATTTCTTGGTATGCTTCATGACACCTAGTTCAGTGCTTTGCTCAAGTAGTATACAGATGTGTGCAGAAGGGGCACCAAGCCCAGGCAGAGGGCAGGGAAGGCCACCAGAAGACTTGCAAGGCAAGGAAAAGGGAATCATTAATTTGTGAACTTGCCTAGAACAGGTGGGGTGGTGATGGTAAAAGAGAAAGCCTGGGGGATAATAGACAGTAGATATTTATTGAGTGCTAATAGGTACCAAGCACTGTTACATGTTGTTTTCCATTTCTTATGTATGGAAATTTGATTATATGTTCATACCAGCCCTATGAAGTAAGTACTTTTAGTACCTTCATTTTCTGAATAAGGGAACAGGGTCGGTGGGAGGGACCCATTGTGGAGGGACTTTGATGCCTGGATGATGTGCTCCATCTTCAAGATGATGAGAAGCCACATGTGCCTCAAAGCAGTTCATCTTTGTGAATCTGTCCCTACTGTCTCTGTGATGGGACAGCTCAGCCCAGGGTCGAAATTTGCACAGGGAATAAACTGGTTGGCAGTTGTGAGCTGGGGTCTATATCCTTGTGTTATTCATTCATGAACTTGAAGCAGCATGCCAGGCTTTATTCTTTGAGTTTTTGTTTTGCTTTGTTTGGCATCTGGCCGGTGTGGGGATCCGAATCCTTGACCTTGGTGGTGTCAGCACCATGCTCTACCAACTGAGCCAACTGGTCAGCCCTCAGGCTTTATTTTCAGTGAAAGAAATGTAATCTTCCTTTGCCTCTCTTTTCCTTGGTCCCTCAGACTCTCCACAGTTGCTCTTTGGGCTTTGGGGAGGGCCAGGGGTTGCTGGTGGGTTTCAGGCCATTTTGTTTCATCCCCAGGTCCATAGCTTCAGTCCCTTTCACAAACCCAGCTCTGGATTATTCCAGTGGGAGGAAGGAGTGGATCTGCCCCCAGGCAGGACTATAGCAGGTGGCTCTAAGAGGTGCAGACAAAGGCCCAATTGGGAATGAGCCCTAACCCTGAGTCTCTCCCCATGTGGTCCTGGTAAGTCACTTCCTCTTTCTGGGCTCAGTTTTTCTGCCTATAGAATGGGCATGATAATGGCTTTGTCAGGGTCCCAGTGTGGCAAGGGAAGATGGCTGAGAAACCTAAGGAGCTGTCCTATCCCTTCCTGCAATCCCTGCTCCAGCTTGATGGCGGTGGGGGTGGGGATGAGAAAGGAAACCTAGGCTCTAATTTTAATCCCTCATGTTTTAGCTCAATCTGATTTCATATTTTTGGGGAAGTAAATGAGAAGGCTGGTATCCAAGATGACTCTTCCCTAGGCTCCTTTGCTCCAGCCCAGGATGATGCTTGTCTGGCCACTCAAGCCCCAGTCCACTGGGGCTCCAGAGTAGGGAGGGTGGTGCTTAAGCTTAGCTGATGGGCCTAGGGAGGGAGTATGAGAGATGGGTGGTTAGGAGCTGGAACCACAGGGGAAGGAAAGGAGAGAAGCCTGGCAGGAAGTCTTACACGTGAGTAAGTGCGCACGGGATGATGTGGGTTACGCACCCGCATGGGTGTCCCTGCCTCTGCGGGCCTGTGCACTTTGCAGGATGACATAGGTGGGATGCGAGTCTATCTGATGTGTGGCTTGATTTGTCTGTTCTGTGTGTGTGTTGAGAGGCATGCACACAACTGTTGGCACTAGTCTTTTTGTGTGTGTTTTCACCTCTAGATCTGGTTTGCTAAAAAAGGGGAAACTGACTTTTTGGAGAGTGGTTCAGGAGAAAAAGCTCTCACATAGGAGGGAGGAAACCTGGATTCCTTCCTGTAACTTTAAATAAAGCTTTCCCCTTCTTGGGGTTTCAGTTTCTACTGTTCTAACAGCCTCTATATGTAGTTCTACATTATATGTAGTTCAATTTAGTGAACTCTTGGAGTCCTCCTTTCTGGCTGTGTTATCAAACAACCTCTCTCTCTCTCTCTTTTTTTTTTTTTAAAGATGACCAGTAAGGGGATCTTAACCCTTGACTTGGTGTTGTCAGCCCCACGCTCTCCCGAGTGAGCCACAAGTCAGCCGCATCAAACAACCTCTCTCTCTCTCTCTTTTTTTTTTTTTAAAGATGACCAGTAAGGGGATCTTAACCCTTGACTTGGTGTTGTCAGCACCACGCTCTCCCGAGTGAGCCACAAGTCAGCCGCATCAAACAACCTCTCTAAACCATAGTCTTTTGGGCTGAAGACGCTATTTTCCTCTGGCCAACTCCTTACTTTGGAGAAAAAGAGCAAGACCTCAAAGCCCAGGGTTCCATGCAGTAGGTTACATTCAGTGAAGTCCAGAGGGCTGCTCAGTCCCTGACCTATTAAGTCAGATTTGGTCTAGCCAGGACCTCCTCCCATCAAGGATACATGTACCCTTCCCACCCACCAACATCCGGTACTTGCTTTGTGAGTCAAGGATTAATTCAGGTGACTGATAAGGGGGAGGGGAATCGTGCGGCACCTGAGTCACTGCTACCCTCTACAGGAAAGGCCAGTCTGCCCATGCCGCATGCTACAGAGAGGGAGGAGGAGGCATCTGAGACTGTCCCAGGGAATTAAGGGGAACTGAGAAGAGGAGTGTTCCAAACCTAGAGGGAGACTTCCTCTCTTATTTTAACTTTTGGGAAGTGGGTGGGGAGGATAGTTTCTCTGGTTTATATGGGGCCCAGAGAGGTGTCAGAACTTGTCTGGGGTCACACAGGGAGTTGGGTGGAACTACAGAGAATCTAGGCAATCTTGTCTCCAGGCAAGCCACCTGCTGCTGAGCCTGGCTTTCCTGGGGCCACGGGGTGGGGTGGGGTGCAGAGGAATAAAGTTACAGAGAGGCTTGAGCTGCAGATCTCTCCAATGGGGCAGGGGAGGAGGGAAAAGCCTGCACTCTTCTCTTGTTCTGGGCTCCCTGTCTGAGGCTGTTGTTGAATGCAGCTGTTATCAGCAAGACCCAGAGGAGCAGGGTCAAGAATATGGGTAGGGAGTGAGAGTGTGAGCACTCTGGTCCACCTTAGCTCAGGCCTAAATCTCCTCTGCTCCCTGTCCTGGGAGCTCCTAGTTATGTAAAAGATGTTCAGATACAGCATCCTGGCCTTTCCCCAATCCCTCCCCACTATGCCTCCACCTCCATCTCCCAACACATGGGGTCTTCCTGGGGCTCAGTTCCCACTGACCGCAGGTCTAGAGACCCTCAGGAAGTCATTCCTGAAGTCTGATTGCAGAATGTCCTGCAGCCTGTCTCCTCTCTGGGATCTTTCCCCTGTGACTCTTCTCCCCTAGGGCTGGTCTCTGGTGACTGCCCTGTAATTAGCAGACTGGGCTGGGATGAGGAGAGAGTATTCCGGGGCTTACTCACACCCATCACCTCCAGGGTGAACCAGATGCAGAGGTTCCTTCTACTACCTTTTCCTCCCTTACCCTTGGATCACAGGCCCTACATTTTTTGGGGGGGAGGGGGTAGCGGCTGGCCAATATGGGGATCCTAACCTTTGAACTTGGTGTTATCAACACTGCACTCTAACCAATTGAGCTAACCAGTCAGCCTAGACCCTGTGCCCTTCAAAGAGCAATTGTCCTTCTGGCTCCCAGACCCCACCTCAGGTTCAGGTTCCTGTCTACCTAATTCTGCCCACTTTCAACTTTTTCAAATTCTTAGCCACCTGCCCTCCCCACTCTGCCTCCAAAGTCCCAAATTCATCCCCTCCTCCCTCCCTCCAGCTATTGCCCTGCATCTGGCCACTTTTCTCCTCAGTGACCTCCTCCCAGGCCTCGGGCCTCAGTCTCTCCCCTTCCAACCCATCCTCCACTTGGCAGCTGGAGAGATCCTTCTAAATGATAAATGGAGACCACGTCACTCCTGCTTAAAACCTTCAGGGCTCCCATTAGCTGCTGTTCTTAGTGATGGAACACTTGTCAATTGTAATCTTATTCAGAACCTCCAAGTAAAATGGTTAAAATGATGTGGTTAAAGAAGGAGATTTCCTCTTCCCACCTCCAGCTGCAGCAGTCCCTGTGAGAGCTTCCTCAGAGCCCTGGGACAGAGAGAAGCAGAACTCAAATATCTCTGACCCCCTGGATGAGGTCCAGGCCCTTAGTGCAGAACCCAAGCCCCTTCCATACTACCCTTCTCCTTCCCTAGCTTCACTCCTGCTTCTCTCTTTATGACCAGGCAGGCAACCATCCCTACTAGAACTGGTCCAGCAGTGTCACCTAGAAAACCCTCCACAAAATCCCCAGAAATGCTTTCTCCTCCAGGAAGCCCTCTTATTGCCCCAGCCCAAAAGATGCAATGCTCCATGTGCGTTTCCTGGCCACAGGGGCCAAGCTAATGCTGGGCCCAGGTTTGGGCCCCTTGGGAAGTCTGTGAGCTTTTCTTTCTTCCTTGACCTCTGGTCCTGACCCCTCATTCCCTGAAGCAACCCCATCCTGGTTTCAGAACCTGCCCTGCCAGTGAGAAGGGAGATGGGAATCAAAAAGGCTAGAGTCTCCAGGGATCTGATCCCTGAGGTGTGAACCAGAGCCCTCTAGATACCCTAGGTCTGTTCACAGTGATGGCCTAGTCTGTGTCAACTCCATGTCACTAACTCCCCTCCCCATGAGGCTGGCATGGGGAAGTCCCAAGTGTCCCGCAGTTTGTCTCCAGAACTCTCAACAGATCTCCATCTCCTATCTCTGGCTTTTAGAAATACTGGACCCACAGACAGGCCCAGACAGGCACACATGGATATGCACACAGATCCCCATGGACACACAGATGCACACATGGACCCTCACAGATACACCCACACACACACAGCTAAGAATGCACATGGATTCACATGGGGAAATGCAGCTGTGATTAAGGGGGCAGCTTTCCTCCTGTGTAGACTGTGTAGTACAGTTTTCAATGCCAGAAACATCCACAATCTTGCCCAATTCTTACAAAGACCCTGGAGGTGGCCTCCTTCAACCAAAACCTCCAGGTGACTGGTGAAGAAATTGAGACTTTGAGGGGTGGAGGAAGAGGCTGTCTAGGTCACCTGATTGGTCAGTGGCCAGACCAGGTATGGAGCTCAGATTCTGGGTCTACAAGATGACTCTGTCCCCATCAGCCTCATCCCTGTGACTCTGGGCCTTTCCTCAGCAAGAGATTCAGGCCTCTGTCCCATCCCTCTGCCTCCTTATGACCCTCTGCTGTCCTAACCCCTCAAAGTCTGCTGAGGACAGCTCAGGGACATCAGGGAGTAAACCCAGAGTCTCCAGAATACGGGTCAAAAGGTAGATTTTCTCAAGGTCCAGATGGACATCTGGCCAGAGGTGCCCAAGGGGGGCAGTTTATCTTCATGGGCTCTCCACCATTTCACCTGTCTGGAGACGGGGGTTACTGTTTTGGCGCAGGAGGAGGAGCTGCCTGCCCGCCCCCCAGTCTGGGGACGCTCATAATAGGGTGATTCATCTCTGCTTTCCACTCCCCATTCCAGTCCAGACCCAGCCCCCCACCTCAAAGCCTGGAAGCAGGAGCAGTGTCCAACAGTAGCCTAAGAGTGGGGAACACTCTGGAAAAAGGGGTCAAGCATGGAGGGACTCGATGTGTTCCTGTGCCCTGACTCCCTGCTGTCTTTGTGCTTCAGACCTGTGGCTCCCTCATCCCTCTGCCCTCTTCACCATCCTCTCCATCAAACCCAGCTGGGTTTGAATCCCAGCTCAACACAGTGGCTGAGTGACCTTAGCGGGTGACTTCTCTCCAAACCTCACTTTTGTCATCTGTGAAATGAGGAAAATACACCCACATCTGTGTATCTTGTTCACGTTAACAGGTTGTTTTCCGAAGTGGGAGGAAGTACTCTCTAAACTTGAAAATGTCTGTGTGTTTTGCTCTGCCTGCCCCTCCCCCACCCCACTCCAGTGCTCTGGAAGAGGTTAGAGGGTCAAGGGGGACTCTAGAGTGAGTTGCTTTCTATATCTCCACCCCAACCTCTCACTTGCTGATAGCAAGGCCCGTGTCTCCTTTGCTGGTTCAGACTGCTCGCATTCAGGCAGAAAGAGTTTGGGGTCAGGAAATGAAGGGCGTGGTCCCCCCACCCCTTAAAGGGCCCCAACCAGCCCCTCTGACCCAGCAGGCTGGGACTTGCATCCTTAGCCCTTCCCTTGCCTGGGAACCCTCTCCCCTAGCTCTGACCTAAAAGGAGTCACAGCCTCACACAGGGTGGATGGGTTGTCCAGGCCCCTTTCCTGCTCAGCCCTCCCTCCCAGGTGAGACACAGACCTTGCTCAAGAAACCCTGGGAGAAGGTGGGACCTCCTCATTTGCTTCCTCCCAGAGCTGCCAGGAGGGCTGGCTCTCAGCCTGCACTTAGCTCTCTCTGGCTTTCCTTCCCAAAGCACGAGTGAGCCCAGAGAGCTCTGGGTAATCTGTGCAACTCAGAGGGCCAGGGTCTCACCAAGCTCAGTCTCTTCTCTGGGAAGCCAGGCTTTCCTCTGCCTTCTGCTCCAGGGAGTGCCATTCACATTGACTGCAGTGACAATGATGCCTTCAGAGTTGCGCAATGAGGCAGTCCACTTCTGCCCGTGGGCAACCTGACACTTCTGTACAGGCAGGGATCCTCTGACTCCTCTCCATCCCACGTGACCCAAGGAGGGCTGGCAGGAATAAGGGGCCTTGGAAGGCACTGCATCCTTCCCCCTACTCCAGGCAGGGTCCTCTCAACCCCACTAAAAAACATGAAGACCTACCCATATCTTCTCAGCTTCCACCATAACCATTCCAATGTGTATGTGCACGTACATGTGTGAACACCCTAGCGGTAGAGGTGAATGAGTTTGGTGGGAGTATTGGGGTTGTGATCCCAAAGGTTGGGCCCAGATTGAGGGGGCAAGGGGAATTAAGGGAATTTATGGCTAGTAGAATGAGGGATATCCAGCCCTCATTCTACTAGCAAAGCCACATGTCTTGGCAAGGGACTGTTCGCTGGAGGGGGTCACAAAGATGCTCTATGGTGAGCTGCAGCCCCAGAATCAGAGATAGGCACATATATACATGCCACATGGGTGAGTACATGTAGCTGCATGTGTGCATAAATGTGGCTTAACATGAACCAGATATACAAATTCACAGTTCTGCATGATCTGCTTCCTCTCCATGCAGCCCGTGTGAACACCTATGTGAGCTGAGTGTAAATGTGTGTGCAGGGGCCTTGCATGTGTTTGCTGATGGCAGAGCTGTGCCTGTTTTTGTTTCGGCGGCTGGCTGGTACAGGGATTGAACCCTGGCCCTTGGTGTTATCAGCATCATGTAGTAACCAACTGAGTTAACTGGCCAGCCCCTGCCCCTAGTTTTCTCCCCTGCTGTGGTTCTCAGCCCAGACTCAGCTGCAGCTGTCAGCAAGCCCAGGATGGGACAGGGTGAGGATGGGGTGCTATGGGCTGGGGTTCCCTGTTTTTTCTTTCAATGTTGAGCAGCCCCTTGCCAGTTCCTGCCCTGTGCTGCCTTTGCAGCCCCACTTGGAGCAGTGAGGGGCTGAGAAGCACACCACAGGGTGCAGAGAAGAGAGGGCAGCACGGCACAGTGTTCCTCCACTCCCACATTCTATGGTCTGGGCTCTGGCACCAGGAGTTTACAGTTCTGTCTTGAGTCACAGCTTGGCAGTGGGGCCAGCAGGCAGGTACTTGGCTATGGCTCCCTGATTCACCATGAGGCCTCCCAGCCTGTGGGGGCAGGGGTGGGGTGGGGTACATCTCTTTGGGCCAAGAGCTGTGAGAGGCCTCGTGAGTGGGTTCCATGTATGTATGAGCCCATGGCCAGGTTCTCATATGAATGGGATCCCATGAGCATGTGAGCAGAGGTCACTGTCTGTAGACATGTGTGACTGTAAACTGTAGGGCATGTGTGTGTGTGTGCCTGCATGTGTGAATCTACCCCACCTTTTTGGGCAGGAACCACCTCTGGGACTGGGAGCCCTCATTTCTGACAGCCATTCCTCCAGGAACAAGTCCCCAGGGCCTTTAGCCCACCTGGATTAAGTCCAACTGGTGGTTTCTTCAGTTTCCCCTGGCAATGCTGCCATAGAGACTTGGAGTGAAGACATGTTCTTTGCTCTCAGTCCTGTGGGAGCAAGGCCCAGGCCTCCAGGCCTCAGTTTCCCGAATATTAAATGCAGCATAGAGACCAAGGTTGCCCCATGGTCCCCCTCAGATGCGGCTGACACCCCCACAGTTTAGCTAGCTCAGTCTCTTAAAGGGACAGATTCTGCCTTGACCAGGGCTTAGCCAGATGGCAGAGGAGAGGGGTAAAATTGGCTGGCAAGCATGTGGCATGTGGCATGTCAGGACAACTGCAGCTCAGCCTCTGGAGCCATGTGAGCAATGCTCAATTAACCCAGCCATGTTCAACAGGCATGTGCACAAGCGTAAGGAATGCCCAGCAAGTGTGATCGGGCACACAGGACATACACCATGTATGGACATAGCTGACCAGGACATGCAACAGGGGACATGTACTCACAGAACAAGGAGACGGGCCCATGAGCTCTGGTGGGACTCAGCACATGTGTTCTGTGAGCCCATGGTCTGGTCTGGACTGTGAGGTGGTCTTCTCTCACTTGGGTCCACAGCCTCTTCCCTTCAGCCCCCTGATGGAGGAACTGCTAGGTCCAGTCATCCAGGAGAGCAGGGGCCAGTTCCTTTCCTTTTTGACATGGTCCTCCCAGCCCCATGGTGGTGGGATGACCCTAGGGCTCCCTGTGCGCGGGCAGGGAGTTCTCTTTTCTTTGGCAGCCCCATTCTGCCCAGCCATGGCTCTGCACACTGCCTACCCTCCCCCCATTGGCTCTCGGATCCCTCTAATCCTGCCTCAGCCCTTATGACACCCCCTCCCCTAGGTGCCCTCCGAGGGCCACCCACCCTCAGAGTTCCTCACCCCCATGTCCCCCGACCTTGCTCACCAGCTCTCCCCACCCTGCGTCCCCACCAACCTCCCCAGGCCGGGGGTGGCCGCTCGCCGGGCTCGGCGGGCGGGG